TATATATACCCACACATATACATACACACACAGTATACACACACACTAATCAGCCACTTTATTAGCTACAATGCTTGGTAACACAAATTGCCAATCACATGGCAGAAACTCAATGCATTTAGGCATCTAGACGTGGTGAGGACAACTTACTGAAGTTCCAAGCAAGCATCAGAATGAGGAAGAAAGGGGATTTAAGTGACTTTGAATGTGGCATTTGTTGGAGCCAGACGGGCTCGACTGAGTATTTCTAAATCTGCTGACCTACTGGGATTTTCACCCACAACCATCTCTAGGGTTTACAGAGAATGGTCCGAAAAGGAGAAAATATCCAGTGAGCGGCAGTTGAGTGGAGGAAAATGCCTTGTTGGTGTCAGAGGAGAATGGGCAGACTGGTTCCAGATGATAACTCCAATAACCACTTGTTACAACCAAGGTATGCAGAATTCCATCTCTGAATGCACAACACGTCCAAACCTTGAAGTAGATGGGCTACAGCAGCAGAAGACCACACCGAGGTGCCACTCGTCAGCTAAGAAGAGGAAACTGATGCTACAATTCGCACAGGCGCACCAAAATTGAAAAACAGAAGATTGGAAGAACTTTGCCTGGTCTGATGAGTCTCAATGTGTAGCACCCTCCTAGTTAGGTGCTATAACGTGAATAGTCAGGTTAGGCATAACTGTGTTTCTCTGCTCACCAGAGAGACTTTCAGGTAAATTCAGTCAGGTATTCTGCCTAACAGAGTGCTGTGATTGATTATTCAGGTCTGCTCATGATGCTCTGGTGCTGTTTGAGTTTGTCTGAGTTATGTCTGCTTTCAGGCTATCAGAGCCTTCCATAACATGGGGAGGGGCTAGGTGAATAAACAGCATGAATATGGATACAGCCCTGGCCAATTGCAGAGGAGGGTGGCCTCGTTGCATGCTGGGAGTGGTATTTATGTTCTGTGAGTGCATGCATTCAGTGTCTTTCCCTGGAGAGGATTGCACCAAGTCAGGCTGGAGGCAGGCTGCCTCGTCTGGCATTTCCTGCCATGCGGCCTCTGTGGGCGACCTGAGGGTCTGAAGTTAGAGAGAGTGACCTTGGCTCTACAGTACACTGACTGAGGGGAGCTGTCTGCCAAAGATCTCTCTGGTATCACTGGAGAGAGAGTCAATTGGAAGATTGGAAGGAGGCAGCCATTCTGTACTTGGACTTGTGAGTGCAGACACTGAGAGATCTTGAGGACTCTGTTTGCTTTGCTACCCCTGTGGTGCTTGATAGTTAGCCTAAGTCTGAGGAAAGGGAACACTGGCTGGTGTTCTGAAGAGCCTGTCCAACTCTTGCTACTGCAAAGGACTCTGCTCAGTTCTATTACTTTTGGAGTGCTACAGTCTACCGTAACAGGCCTGTACCTGAGGGGCTCAGCCCTGTAACTACTACCGCTAAAGGGACTTTGCTCACTCCTGAAACTACTTGTTGCTACACTTTAAAGAGAAGTCTGCTATCTGCTTTCAGCTAGGACTTCAATAGTAGTCAAATAAAACATCAGCTAGATGTCCTCAGAATTCTAATTCTGGAGTATCCTGCTAAATTCCCCATCCCCAGTTCTAATAATAAAAGCTCCAAAGACAAACATCCCCTAGACTGGACATTGAAGACAAGAGTGTGTACCTGGCTGTGGAAAATACTTTGTGCCTGACTACAGGGCGAGGCAAGGGGAAAGCTAGGCAAAAATACAAGCAGCTCCACTGCAGGTAGTGCTACACTGCTGACAATTTTTTTCCCTACTCATCTTTTCTGACTGTTTTTCACTAGTTTTGCATTTGGCTAGGGTCAGTGTCACTACTAGTAGCATGAGGCCATACCTGGACCCTACAGAGGTTGCACAGGCAGTCCAACTCCTCCAGGATGGCACATCAATACTTACCATTGCCAGAAGGTTTGCTGTGTCTCCCAGCACAGTCTCAAGAGCATGGAGAGATGAGAAGATTGTAGGGGACAAGCAGTTACTCTAGGAGAGCTGGACAGGGCTGTAGAAGGTCCTTAACCCATCAGCAGGACCGGTATCTGCTCCTTTGTGCAAGGAGGAACAGGATGAGCTCTGCCAGAGCCCTACAAAATGACCTCCAGTAGGCCACTGATGTGAATGTCTATGACCAAACAATCAGAAACAAACTTCATGGAGTGGCCTGAGAGGTCCGACGTCCTCTAGTGGACCCTGTGCTCACTGCCCGGCACCATAGAGCTTGATTGGCATTTGCCATTGAACCCCAGAATTGGCAGGTCCACCACTGGCACCCTGTGCTTTTCACAGATGAGAGCAGGTTCACCCTGAGCACATGTGACAGACATGAAAGAGTCTGGAGAAGCCATGGAGAATGTTATGTTACCTGTAACATGGTTCAGCATGACCGTTTTGGTGGTGGGTCAGTGATGGTCTGGGGAGGCATATCCATGGAGGGAGGCATAGATCCTCTACAGGCTAGACAATGGCACCCTGACTGACATTAGTTATTGGGATGAAATCCTTGGACCCACCTACGCTGGTGCAGTGGGTCCTGGCTTGCTCCTGGTGGCCAACAATGCTCGGCCTCATGTGGCGAGAGTATTCAAGCAGTCCCTGGAGGATGAAGGAATTGAAACCATTAAATGGCCCCCATGCTCGCCTGACCTAAATCCAATAGAACACCTCTGGGATGTCATGTTTCGGTCATCCGACGCCTCCAGGTTGCAGCTCAGATTGTCCAGGAGCTCAGTGATGCCCTGGTCCAGATCTGAGAGGAAATACCATCCGTCATCTCATTAGGAGCATGCCCCGACGTTGTCAGGCATGCATACAAGTATGTGAGGGCCATAAAACTGCTGAGGACCATTCTGAGTTGCTGCAATGAAATTTTAGCAAAATGGACTCGCCTGCTGCATCATTTTTTCACTTTGATTTTCGGGGTGTCTTTGACACACAAATTTACCTCTCCACCCCTCACCTCACCCCTTCAGTCTCCGCCCGTATCACCCACCTCCTGAACAACATATCAGACTGGATGTTGCTCCATTTCCTCAAATTGAACCTTTCCAAAACTGAACTCCTAGTTTTCCCCCCAGCCTGCGCCCCCCCCATCCTCTCCATCACGACCAACAACGCCACCATCAATCCCACTCCGCAAGCCAAAGTCCTAGGTGTCACCCTGGACTCAAACCTATCCTTTCATCCCCAGATCCAATCGTTGGCAAATTCATGCAGGCTCCACCTCCGCAACATCTCCAAAATACGTCCGTACCTAACCCCAGAGACTACTAAACAACTCGTTCACTCCCTTATTATATATCACGACTGGACTACTGCAACTCCCTTCTCACCGGCCTACCTCACCACAGACTATCCCCGCTTCAGTCTATCCTGAACCCAGCGGCCAGACTCATCCACCTTACCAACCGCTCCTCTTCTGCCACCCCCCTCTGTCATTCCCTCCACTGGCTTCCAATTGCCCAACGCATTAAATTCAAACTACTAACACTGACATACAAAGCCATTCATAACGCTGCCCCAAACGACCTCACCGACCTGATACCCAAATACCAGTCAACCCGTACTCTTCGCTCCTCACAGGACCTCCTACTTTCTAGCTCGCTGGTCTACTCCTCCCACGCCCAACTGCAGGACTTCTCCAGGACTTCTCCCATCCTCTGGAACTCTCTACCCCAATCCATCAGACTGTCACCTACCCTCCTCACCTTTAGGCGCACCCTGAAAACCCATCTCTTCAGGGAAGCCTACCCCACCCTCACCTAACAGCCGATCTCCTCCACTCCTCCTACCACTCCATCCCCCACAGCCACTTCCTCCTGTACCACTATCCCCTCCCCAGATTGTAAGCTTGAAAGAGCAGGGCCCTCAAACCCCTCATGTATTGTATTGTTACTGTACTGTCTCATGTTCTGTCCCCCACTATAATGTACAGCGCTGAGCAAACCTTTTGGCGCTATATAAATAGTGTATAATAATAATAATAATAATTCAGTTCTCTGTAGGTCGATCATTTTCATTTCCATCATAACGATGGGACGTCCTTACATTCCTAACACAGTACCCCATCCATGTCAGTATAGATATCCAGGAGGAGATTCCTCCCCATTGAGATCTGATGGGTTTTTCAAAGTCTTCCTTTCATTTTTTTGAGCCGTGTATATACACAATATTGCCAAAAGTATTGGTCCGCCTGCTTTTCCACACACATGACCTTTAATGGCCCCCCCCCCGTCTTAGTCCAATAGGGTTCAATATTGAGTTGGCCCCGCCCTTTGCAACCATAACAGCTTCAACTCTTCTGGGAAGGCCGTCCACAAGGTTTAGGAGGGTGTCTATGGGAAGGTTGGACCATTCTTCCAGAAGCACATTTGTCAGGTCAGACACTGATGTCGGGGGAGGAGGCCTGGCTCGCAGTCTCCACTCTAATTCATCCCAAAGGTGTTCTATGGGGTTGAGGTCAGGACTCTGTGCAGGACAGTCAAGTTCCTCCACCCCAAACTGGCTCCTCCATGTCTTTATGGACCTTGCTTTGTGCACTGATGTGCAGTCATGTTGGAACAGGAAGGGGCCATCCCCAAACTCTTCCTTTCAGCATGAAATTGTCCAAAATGTCTTGGTGTGCTGAAGTCTTAAGAGTTCCTTTCACATGAACTAGGGGGCCAAGCCCAAACCCTAAAAAACAACCAAACACCATAATCCCCCCTCCACCAAATTTTACGCTTGGCACAGCGCAGTCAGGCAAGTACCGTTCTTCTGGCAACCGCCAAACCCAGACATGTCCATCAGATTGCCAGACAGAGAAGAGTGATTGGTCACTCCAGAACATCTCCACTGCTCTAGAGTCCAGTGGCGGCGTGCTTTACACCACGGCATCCAACGCTTCGCATTGCACTTGATGATGGAAGGCTTGGATGCAGCTGCTCGGCCATGGAAACCCATTCCATGAAGCTCTCTACGCACTGTGCACTTCAGCATGACCCCGCTCTGTCATGTGACGTGGCCTACCACTTGGTGGCTGAGTGGCTGTTGTTCCCAGTTGCTTCCACTTTGTTATAATCCCACTAACAGTTGAGCGTGGAATATTTAGTAGCCAGGAAATGTCATAGATGGACTTATTGCCCAGGTGGCCACCTATCACGGGACCACGCTTGGAGTCACTGAGCTCCTGAGAGTGACCCATTCTTTCACCAATGTTTGTAGAAGCAGTCTGCATGCCTAGGGGATGATTGTATACACCTGTGTCCGTGGAGGGGATTGGAACACCTGAATCACATGATATGGAGGGGATTGGAACACCTGAATAACATGATATGGAGGGGGGTCCCCAAATACTTTTGGCAATATAGTGTGTCTACAAAAAAGTTATTCCTCAGTGGCAGCTTCATCATTTATGTGCACCTTCATATAAACTAATAAAAGCAAAAGCTATGACTTATCACATCCCATGATCATTTTTCTAGTCCAAGCAGGTGAAACCATCAGGTCTCTTTCACTGGGGGGTACACCAGAAGGCAGAGGTGTTCCCTGAATCCACGTCCCATTCACTGCTGTTGAAACACAGCAGCTGCATGGACACAGCTGCAGCTCTCAATTTGACAGCCATAAAAGCTGTAGGTGCGTGTCCTGAACTCGCAATGCTTGTGTTTGGGGACATGCACCTGCACCTGCAAGAGGAAGTATTGTCTGCAGCCACTGCATCCCAATAGCATTGAATGGGACTGCCTGCACAAAGATACATGAATCAACTGTATCCTGGGTTATGTCAGCAGCAGGCAGAGAAACAGCAGTACACTGATTCATCCCAGTATACATCCATCCCTATAAAGAGCAGTGCAGGGGGGCATGTCAGCACAAGTCTGACAATTAGAGGACTTGTAGGCTGTGCTCCCAAGTAGAATGCAAAAAGGAAAACTGTCTACACTGCGATTGGATGTGTTTCCATGTCTTGGCATTCTCAGTTTAAAATAGGAAATCAGCAGCACTGGCAGGATCACCAGGTTTTTCACACAGAGAATACAATGCAAGGAGAACAGGATACTTTGTAATACAAATGCACGGTACAGCATGCACAGATCAGTAATATGATATTTTGGAGGTAACGTACACTTTTGTTATTTCAGTAGATTTTTATTGACGTTTTAAGGTGCAACAGTAAAGACTTAGAAATCTTCATATTTTATATACAGTCAACATCAGTAAAAAAAAAAAATAAGAATGTAAAGAAAAAGAAAAAATACAATTGCTTCAGACGCACTGAAAATTGTTACCTGTAACATTAATAACTTCTTTAGATATACGTGCATTAATTATAATTTCAGCATGATATGTATATTTGCAGATAATATGTGAATGTACGAAATATATGTAAAGTGCTGCGTAAATTGAAGGTGCTATATACAGGCATCCCCGGGTTACGTACAAGATAGGGACTGTAGGTTTGTTCATAAGTCGAATTTGTTCATAAGTTGAATCAGGCACTTTTATAAGCACTAACTACTAACCAAACGACAGGATATTAGATTACTGTAATAAGGTTACAGAAAGCAGTAAAACCTCAAGAGGCTCTAAACTGGTGTTTTGCATAAGAACTGCAGCTTGGACACATGTTTGCCTTAACATATTTAACTTTTATGTGCATGTAAATGTTTAAACATCAAATTCAACATTCAAATATTATACTGTAAACTCTTGTACAGTGTAGAGTACAACTTTAAAACTATCTTGGCTAAACTACACTGTACTGTAATGTACTGTATGAGAGAACTCTGCTCTCCTTTACACAGCACACGCTGCCCCCTCCCCCCTGCACAGACGGAGGATCACTTCAGTGAGCAGCCTGACAGCCTCTCCTTTCCTCTCCCCGGAGGTGCAGACAGACAGTCTTAAATCACTTTGGAGATAGTGGGCAGACACTGCTAGCCCCACAAGTAACGAGCAATGGATGTCTCTGTCTCTTATGTCTCTCTGATGTCTCTTATCAGCTAGTCTCTTATCAGCTTGCTGCACAAGAATGCTGACAGCTTGACTTCCGGTCCGAGGGAAGTACGTAAGTATGAGTATTACGTAAGCCGAATGTACTCAACTCGGGGACTGCCTGTACAATGAGGAACAGAAGTATTTGAACCCCCTGCGATTCTGCTTAGAAATCATGGAGTTACTCGCCACTTGACAATTCACATTGGAACAGAAGGGAAATCTTCATATTTATATACAGTCAACATCGTGAAGAAAAAATATAAGGTATGTAGAGAAAAGAAAAATGTGGGTTGGGTTTTGTGGATCTCAGACGCATGAAATGATATGTTACTGTATCATTAATAAATTCTGTTGGATGTGCGTGGATTAATTTACAATGGGCAGATGTGTTGGACTTTCTGCAGATAGATATGTGAATTGGTGTACTAGGCGGTTAATATAGGGGAGTGCTGCTCGTAAATTGACTATGGTGCATATTTATTCGTATGAGGTTCAGTGAAGTAGGTTGATTCCCAAGTTCTCCACTTAGAGGTGACAAATGTCAAAAAAAAAATTCAGGAGATCACATTGTATGATTTGTAAAGAATGTATTTGTCTTGCACTGCTGATGAACAGAAGGATTTGAACACCTAAGAAACAGCAAGAATTCTGGCTCTCAAAGACCTGTTACTGTGCCTTTATAAAGTCCACCTCTACTCCACTCATTCATCTAACTTAGTAGCACCTGTCTGAGCTCTTTAAAGACACCTGCCCACCCCACAGTCAGTCAGACGCCAACTACTACCATGGGCAAGACTAAAGAGCTGTCAAAAGACACCAGAGACAAAATTGTGGACCTCCACAAGGGCTGGAAAGGGCTACGGGGCAATTGCCAAGCAGCTTGGTGAAAAAAGATCAACTGTTGGAGCAATTGTTAGAAAATGGAAGAGGCTAAAGATGACTGTCAGTCTCCCCTCGGACTGGGGCTCCATGCAAGATGTCACCTCGTGGGGGATCACTGATGATAAGAAAGGTGAGGAATCAGCCCAAAAACTACAAGGGAGGAGCTGGTCAATGACATGAACAGAGCTGGGACCACAGTTTCAAAGGTCACTGTCGGTAGAACACTACACCGTCATGGTTTCAAATCATGCATTGCACGGAAGGTTCCCCTGCTCAAGTCATCACATGTCCAGGCCCGTCTGAAGTTTGCCAATGACCATCTGGATGATCCAGAGGAGGCGTGGGAGAAAGTCATGTGGTCAGATGAGACCAAAGTAGAACTTTTTGGTCTAAACTTCACTCGTCGTGTTTGGAGGAAAAAGAAGGATGAGTTGCATCAAGAACACCATCCCTACTGTGAAGCATGGGGGTGGTAACATCATGCTTTGGGGGTGCTTTTCTGCGAAGGGGACAGGACAACTGCACTGTATTAAGGAGAGGATGAATGGGGCCATTTATTGTGAGATTTTGAGCAACAACCTCCTTCCCTCAGTCAGAGCATTGAAGATGGGTTGTGGCTGGGTCTTCCAACATGACAACGACCCGAAGCACACAGCCAGGAGAACCAAGGAGTGGCTCCGTAAGAAGCATATCAAGGTTCTGGAGTGGCCTAGCCAGTCTCCAGACCTAAATCCAATAGAACATCTTTGGAGGGAGCTGAAACTCCGTGTTGCTCAGCGACAGCCCCCAAAACCTGACAGATCTAGAGGAGATCGGTGTGGAGGAGTCGGCCAAAATCCCTGTTGCAGTGCAAACCTGGTCAGGAACTACAGGAAACGTCTGACCTCTGTAATTGCAAACAAAGGCTTCTGTACCAAATATTAACACGGATCTTCTCAGGGGTTCAAATACTTCTGTTCAGCAGTGCAAGACAAATCATTCTTTACAAATCATATTATGGGATTTCCTAAATGTTTTTTTTAAATTCTGTCTCAGAGTGGGAATGCACCTACAATGTGAATTTCAGACCCCTCCATGATTTATAAGTGGGAGAACTTGCAAAATTGCAGGGGTTCAAATACGTCTGTTCCTCACTGTAAGTACCTGAAGTAAATAAAAATAAATAATACAAATAATATCATATGTTTAGTCATATGGGCAACAAAGATGCCACAATATAAAACACAACATTTTAAGTATTTATTTTAAGTAGATGAAAGAATTAGAAGAGAGAAGGAGTAAAAAAAAAAAAAAAGTCTGTAGAAAAGGAATTTGGAGATGAGTGATTTAGTGTAGGTGGTCCAGCCTTATCCCTCAGTGGACACATTCATCTGTATTTCTAGACTGTCTCACTAGGTTGTAGTCTGCACTTTATTCACTATAGTATCAAACTAGAAAGTTGAATATTGAAAAATTACCCATGGGGATCCTGTTTTATTGAATTTTTCTGTTGTTTCACTAACTATGGCAACCAATTCCTCCATGTCATAAAGGTCTTCTATTGCATTAATCCATTCTTTAATGGAAGGAATGTGTGTGGACTTCCAATGTCTTGGTATTAAAGTTTTTACTGCTATCATAAGATATCTCATGTGAGATCGTTTCCTCATGGAGCAGTTGGAAATATGGAGTAAGCAGCAAGCTGGTGTCCATTCAATCTTAGTATCAGTGATATGTATGATCAATTCCCGCATGTTCCGTCAAAAGGGAGTTATTAAAATGGCAATCCCACCATATATGAACCAAAGGGCCTTTTGCTTGATTGCATAGCCAGCATATATCAGAGGACTGTGGGAACCACTGTTTCAATTTGACAGGGATTGCATACTAATGTGATAGGAGTTTATAAGAAGATTCCTGAAAACTGATGTACTAATGGAGCATTTGTGTGCAAAAACACATGCATGCTTCCATTGGTCATCTTGGAATGTGGTATTGAGGAAAGATTCCCAGAGTGTTCTGAATCTTATGATATATATTTTGTGAAATTTGAAGCCAAGCATACATCAATGACATTTTTTTTTCTATTGCATTTCCCTTAAGGCAAATTGATTCAAAGGATGTTAGAGGTCTGAGAAAGGGATTTTTATGCGCTTTAGTAACAATATAACCATGTATTTGATGGTATGTCCATATCATCATGCTATGAGCCCCCTATTCTGCTGTCAGACTAGCATACAATTGTAGTTTGCCTCCTTTAACGCAATGTGCAACCAGAATGGGTACAATTTCATTTAGCTTTAATTTATCCAAAGAGGACATCCCTGGTGGGAAATCTGGATAAAATTCTAGTGGGGTTAATAGGCCCGGCGAAGCCCATGCAAAATCTCCGAAGCAACGGTTGTAATGAATTGAAAATACTTGATGGTATGGAAAC